AAGTATTAGGATTACAGGTGTGAGCCACAGCACCCCGCCCAGCAAAACTATGAACTAATTAAAATGTGGCACGCATCAGATGTCCAAAGATACAAAAAATAATCCAGGTATATTGGTTTAGAAATATCATATAAATTGCTTGATAAAAAGGGCCCAAATGTTACCAACTGTCAGAACAAGCTGTTACTCTCATCTTATTCATCTTATACTGGACTCTCCTCTTTTTGAGTATTAAGACAGAACCAAATTCAGGAAGAGCTGCATTCCAAGTTGCACATCTTTTCCCTCCTCTCGACCTCTCCCAATCTCTCCACCCAGAGCCCTGTCTACTGGAATGAGCAGCCATGCCACGTAGATCTCCTAGCTTCTGGCCTGGACCACACAGCAAGCTGCTGCTCAGCTTCAGGAGATCCGGTAAAGAGGCGAGGTCCTCCCACTCCACATTAGACACAATGCAGTATCTACCATCTAGACTGTGTATTATGCACGGTTACGCCAGCAGGTGAACTCTTATTAACTACATATTTTACATGCATCTGAACCTATGAGGTATTAATACCATCTCCTCAGATGAGGAAAGAGTGTAAACAACCTACCAAGTCACATAGCTAGTAAGCAACAGGGCTAAGGACTAAACCTCAGGCTGATTCCCAGGTCCATACTCATAACCAGTATGCCACACTGCCTTTCTCAAATCTTAGTTGTTTTCATTTTTTATCCAAATATATGTCTTTTTAACCCCAGGTAACCTATCACCTATAAACCTGCAAACTTAGAGGTTAATTTGCCTCTAAGAATCAATAGTTGATTCTACACTTAAAATATGTGAGGATAGTTTGCCTGGTCTGCCCTGTATCTTCTCTTAGTAGCCCTAGACTTTCAAACATTCCTTATAAGACATTCATTTTTTTCCAGCTTTCTGATTGTCCTAGTCCCACTCCACTGAATGATCTTATTCATCCATGCCTCTCTTTAAGTACAGCACTAAGAACTGAACATAATGTTTTCACTGTGAGCTGACTGGCAAGGAAAGGAGTAGGATTATCATTCCACTTCATTCTAAACAACAAACATCTATCAATGGGCCTTTTGTTTATAAGTTCATAAATTTGATGACTCATATTAAGCTCAAAATCAACTAAAATCCCGATAACCTAGTCACATGCACTGTAAGCCTTTCCTCACCCCTCCTACATTTGTTTAACCGTGAATTTAGTTAATATGAAAGCTAAGTAAATCAGGAAGGTAAACAAGACAGCCTGGAGAATACAGCCAGGAGACCAACTAGGGAACAAGCTGTTTTCAAGCATTTTCATAGCAGTCTTAGAGTACTAATAACTCTAAGTCCATTCTCATCAGTAAAAGCATCTAGATCTTCTACAAGAATGATTATGTGTTATATTAGGTAGAAAATCTGCTAGATCTGTTGCCTATATATAGAACACACAAACATACACAATCTGCTTATTTGTCTCTGATGTTGGTATACATAGAAACCACTAGATTCCCTTTTAAGAAACTCTTAGGGCTGGGGCAGTGGCTCACACCTGTAATCCCAGCACTTTGGGAGGCCAAGGAGGGAGGATCACTTGAGGTCAGGAGTTTGAGACCAGCCTGGCCAACATGGTGAAACCCCGTCTCTATTAAGGATACAAAAAAATTGGCTGGGCATGGTGGCGAGTGCCTGTAATCCCAGCTCCTCAGGAGGCTGAGGCAGGAGAACCGCTTATTTAGCATGCGATCTTTAATATTTTACTTTAGCGATCAAAGTGGTTCCTTGAGATGCACATGGGTTTCTCTGAGCCTTGTTTCCTTTTACTGTTTTTCTTGTAATCATTTCCCCCTCCTCTACACCAAAAGGAAATATTATATTTCTCAACCAGGTATTTTCTTTACATAGAAGTTTCAGAAATGTAATATTCATGGTGGGACATGAATATTACATGGAAGGAGAACATTTGAGTTTATAAATATTTTAAGAAACGCTAAGCTATTTCATTTGCTTTATAAACACCCTATGGATTGGAAAGGCATTATTATCCACATTTTACAAACAAGAAGTATAAGGCCCAAAGCCAAACAAGTATCAACAGCCATTTAGGACTAGAAGCCACGTCTTGAGCTCTATAGTGAAGGCACTCCACAATACCATGAGGTTTGTCATCTAAGTACTTTCTCCTTTAGCCTGCCTGCCTTCAGTGACATACATTCCTGAGATTTTTGTCTTGGTTGTGGCTCCCATTTCAGTAAAATCTAATATAAAAAATTCTGAAGTTCGTTACAGAACAGTAGCTAATTATGTGCATTACAAAGAACTTCACATTGGGAAAAAAAACTCCGCAGATTTCAACATTATTTTTCTCTTTCAATAAAACTATGACAACTCAGAAAAATGTGACACATCTACAGCTTTCAGGAATATGTTCATCTTATAAACTTAAATATACAAGTAAATAATATTTCCATATTATCTCAATGAATTCATATAAAGCCCTGCAAACAAGCAACTTTAAGGATAAGAAATCTGAAGTCAGAAGACTGAGTGACTTGTACAAAGCCTCACTTACAGGAAATGGCTGAGCTGCTAGAGTTTTCTGACCAACAAAAGGCCAGAATACAAGCCTGACTCCACCACTGACGTACAGTCAATCGTTCCTTGAGAAAACGAGATATTACAGTTGGCCCCTACATCTGTGGGTTCCATATTCGTGGAGCCAACCAATCGCAGACCGAAAATATTTTCAAAATCGGCTGGGAATGGTGGCTCATGCCTGTAATCCCCAAACTTCGGGAGGCTGAGGAAGGAGGATCCCTTAAGCCCAGGAATGTGAGACCAACCTAGGCAACATAGGGAGACCCTGTCTTTACAAAAAAAAATCAAAAAATAAAAATTAGCTGGACATGGCAGCACTTGCCTATAGTCCTGGGCAACAGAGTGAGACCCAGTTTCAAAAAAGGGAGGAAAACAACTAGTAACAACTATTTACACAGTTTTTACATTGTATTAGGTATAAGTAATCTAGAGATGCTTCAAAGCATACAAAGGATGTGTGTAGGTTATATGCAAATACTGTGCCATTTTATATAAGGGACTTGAGCATGACAGATTTTGTTATGGGGGATGGGACATGCCAGATACCAGTTTCCTGCAGATACTGAGGACAACTGTACTTGTCCCTACCTAACTTTAGAACACGGTGTCTATTGTGCCAAGTATTGTTCTAGACAAGGGAGATACAGTAATCATCAAGACAAAAGTCCTGACCTGGTAGACTTTATGCTTTAGAAGATGATATGAGCAATACACAAACAAACATCCAGTGTGCCCGACGGATATGAGAGACGGGGAATAAATACCAACAACACAACAGAACAGTGAATAATAACAGTCAGGGAGGTAGAGCCCACAGGGTGCTATTTTACATACGGTGCCACCCTATGTAAACACCTCGATGAGCGGACACTGTGAAAAGAGACCGAAAAGAAATGTGGGAGCAAGCCATGGGGATTATCTAAAAAGAGTGTTCTGGAGAGAAAGAACAGAATAGCAAGTTTGAGACGCTTCTGAAACACCCTGGACACAGTCAGATTTATGAATGTGGAGAGACAGGTGTGTAAATATACTTTTTGGTTTTTACTTATTTATTTTCTATTGCAATGAACATGTATTGAGCCCATACTAAATGAGACACAGCTAAGAAATGCCCCTGCACCAGCCATGCACAATTCACATCACCCAGCCTAAGATCAATGTCTTGCTGTTTGTCCTCAGCCAGGTACATCCTACATTTTACTAGGTTTCTACCATTATGCAGTCTCCTGTAGTGTAGTGACAGGCTTGTCTTAAAGCTCAGAATCTTCTTAGAAAGTGGTGGATAACAGTGATAGTCACAACTAACAAAGAATTTGCTTTAAACATGCACTGAGATGGACTCATCGCTTCCTGTGAAGCTGCTACACTGGTCTGTCACTCTACTCATGGGCTCTTCGGAATAAATGACATTCATAATACTCTTCCCTCAAGGTCAGGGACAGTGGCTCCAGCCTGTAATCCCAGCACTTTAGGAGGCCAAGGTGGGCAGAACACTTGAGGTCAGGAGTTCAAGACCAGCTTGGCCAACATGGTGAAACCCCATCTCTACTAAAAATACAAAAATTAGCCGGGCGTAGTGGCGCACATCTGTAACTCCAGCTACTCAGGAGGCTGAGGCAGGAGAATCATGTGAACCCAGAAGGCAGAGGTTGCAGTGAGCCAAGATCACACCACGTTACTCCAACCTGGGCAACAGAGTGAGACACTATCTTAAAAAATAATAGTAATCTTCACTCACATCATAATTGTCACTCATAAGCACTCTGTCTGAAATGAATTATAATCAGCTGTGGCGTCAGCAGCTTCTGCCACAAAGCTAGAGGTGGGTGATTGCACGTCAGCAGAGAATTCCAAACCCTGCCATGTTCTGTGGTTGACTCTAGGTCTGTGGTCAAGTCTAGGTGAATGGTTAAATCTTGGTCTGCAGTTAACTCTAGATGAGTGATCAATTCTAGTAGGTCAGTGGTTGATTCCGGGGGTAGTGTAGAGAAAGCCACAGCCGGGGCACAGAACACAAAGAAAATCAGGACCTTCCTGAGCATGGTGCCTCCAGGGAGGGCAAAAGCATCTTGAGCTGTATATTTAACCACCTGGTACTTAAAGCTATGAGACTGAGATCACCAAGGAAGTGAAAAGAGAGAAAAGGAAAGTACTAAGGACTGAGTCCTGGGGTCATAGAACATTTAGAGATAGAAGATGAGAAGGGGCTTCGCAAGAAACTGAGAAAAAACAGCCGATGAGGGGAGAGGAGAAGAGATGTGTCCCAGAGTGAAGTGGGAAAAAAAAAAGTTGCAGGAAAAAAGTGATCAACTTTTTTCAAATTCCACTGAAGTTCAAGTAAGAGGGCTGCTACCTGACTGTTGGATTTAGGAATGTGGATGTGGCAGATAACAGAAAAGAAACACATGCTCACCTCAACAGCATATACTAAAATTGGAACGATTCAGCGAGGATGAGCGTGGCCCCTGCACAAGGATGACAGGCAAATCTGTGAAGCCTTCCATATCTTAAAATAGATGAGGAACACAAATTTTTTTGGCAGCAACTTCGATCAACAGGTGGAGTCCGTTTTCCCACAACTGAATCTGGGCTTGGCCGTGTGAGCTGCTTTGTCAAAAGGACTTTAGCAAATGTGACACACGCACGGCTTTCAAAGTGCTTGTGCACTGGGCTTCCTTTCTCTTTTGCTACTAGAATGCTTTCCCCATCATGTTAATGAGCTTGCTAGAGATGAAATAAACAGCCATTGGCCCTGCTGATGTCCAACCAACCACCACACACAAGTGAGGTCACCCTGTCCAGGAAAGCCACCCAGGCCAGCTCCAACCAGAATTGATCCATAGAAGTATGAGCAAATAAAATGGTTTTTGTGCTAAGCCACTAAGTTTTGGGATGGTGTGTTATGAAGCAAAAGCTAAGGGATAAAGAGGAAGATACCAGTAACACAGAAGAGCTGTTTCAATGGAGTCATGGGCATAGGAATCTGACCAGAGCTGGTTAAGAACGAATGGATGGAAAGAATAGAACACAAGGCCTCCAGCTGATACTAGCTGAGCTTTAGAGGCTTTCCTTTCTAACAGGGCCATTTCCTTAACCAGAAAACTGTACTGTTACACTGTTTGCCAGATACTTCCTACCTACTTCCAAAGCTCGTATAAGTAGGCATGGTGGTATAGTGGCAAAGTCCTACTTTCCTTGGTGCATCCCATTATACCCAACCCAAGCACATCTGCTCATGGATGCAGACAGGATGGAGGGGTGAAAGAACTAATACTCTGCTGCTTCTCTGCCATTAAGGCAAACCAATAAACTTGATGTTATATTTATACCCCCGTCACTAGGGGTGTGTGTGGGGATGTGTGTGGGGATGTATGTGTATGTGCAAAGATGTCTCCTTACAGGGCAGCTGTCTCTTGACAAGCCTGGACATGTTCATTATTCGTCATTTTGTAAACAAACTCTCTGATCAGGAGTGAAAATCACATTTAAAAACATTTATAAAAATTTCAAAAATAACTTTTAAATGTCAAGAATATATAAATAACTTACTTGGCAATCCGCAGTTTCCCAACTTCACCTCTTCCAGGGGCTTTAGCCCATTGCTGTGACAAATATTTAGGAACCTAAGGCAAAGGAAAACACTAGTAAGACTATTGTAGATGCCAACAGATCTCTTCAAACGTAAAATAATATACTGCTTCTATGAGGCACCATCATCAAGTTATCACGGCATGTTTTGTGCTACCTGAAATACTAAAGCACGTAAAAAATGATTTCAGCTCTCAAAGAGCTTCAATATAACCTCGGTGGTCACACAGAACTAACATGGTTCAAATAACCTGCCAGTAATAAAGCACTAACCTATCTTCCCAAGTAAGTTCAACCAAAGGTCACAGAAGAGAAAGGCGCTTCTCAGAGAAAAACAGCACTGACTACAGTAACAGCATTATTTAGAAACACCACTGGGCTGAAGATGATTTCAAAAGTCAAGTTTTATTATGTAGAAAACTGTGACATTGAATACTGTCAAGAAGCTGCTAATACAAAAGGAATATTAAACAGCATAGCTAACATTATATAATCCTGCCTTCCTGACACTGCGGCAAGCACTTTATACAGATTAACACAGGCAGTCCTCACATCTCCATAGAACAGGTACTATGACCCCCATTTTACACACGATGAATCTGAAGCACCCAGGGACTATACAATTTACTCAAGGTTATATAATTAGTAAAGATGCAGCCAGGACGCAAACCCACGCAGGCTGCCTCCAGGGTCTGCGTTCTTAACCAATACACTATGTTGCATCTGGAACTGAGTACATGCAATCAGAAGGACTTTAATTCTCAAAATGGAGAGGGGGTGACATATGCTGAATCTCTATTACACACCTTATCTCATTTCTTCTATAAAGTAATTTGGACTCTGGAATCAGTCCATACCTTGAAAGCTATCCTATGATTAGGAGTGAGATACACCAAGTATGAAGCATAATGCCTTACACAAAGCCAAGTACTCAATATGTGTCAGATGTCATTATTTTTCATAAAAAATTTGGAATAATCCAGCTGCCAGAGCTGAGAAGAAAACTAATTCTACCTAGCAATTACTTCATGTGCAAAAAAAAAATCACTTGACCAGAGGCCGGGCGCGGTGGCTCAAGCCTGTAATCCCAGCACTTTGGGAGGCCAAGGCTGGTGGATCACGAGGTCAAGAGATCGAGACCATCCTGGTCAACATGGTGAAACCCCGTCTCTACTAAAAATACCAAAAATTAGCTGGGCATGGTGGCGCGTGCCTGTAATCCCAGCTACTCCGGAGGCTGAGGCAGAATTGCCTGAACCCAGGAGGCGGAGGTTGCAGTGAGCTAAGATCACACTACGGCACTCCAGCCTCGGCGACAGAGAGACTGTCTTAAAAAGAAAAGAGTTAGACAACATACTAGTCAGTCCAGTACCATGCTAAACCACCACTATCCCATCTCATCCTTCCAGTCACCCTGCCAAACCGCAATCATTCTCCTCTTCCTGCAGATGAGAAAACTGAGGTTCAAAGGGTTGGAATAACTCAGGCAGCCAGGATCAGATTCAAGACTCAACACCACACTGGTCTTCTGTTCTCTTCACTAGACCATACTACCTCTCACCAGGGTCTATGTGCTAAAGAAGAGTATGTAACAGGTCTAAGGAAAAGAGGATTCCGAAGACTCCGCATCTTAGCAAACTTCCACTACACTATACTCCATTCATCCAAACAAGCTTAGAGGATTTGGCAAACTCCTTAGGATAACTGTCTACCCATTCGGTCTCCTCTGATTACAGGTGACAGAAAACCCACTTAAAGAGGACTAATGTGCCAAATAACAAAAAATTCCAGAGGTAGCTTAACGGTGGTTTCATTAAGGGCTCAAATGAGGTCCCCAGCCTCTCTCACTATTTCTTATCCATCTCTCCCCCATGTTAACTCAGGTATTTGGCAGACCCTCCCCTTAGGTAGCAAAATGGCAGAGGCAGCTTCTGAAGAGCACAAGTCTCCTTCCCAGAAGTCCCTAGCGAAAATCTGTCTTTCATGAAGCTGACGAGGGTGTGTGCCCTTCCCTGGACCTATTGCTGTGCCCAGAGATGAGATAGCTCTCTGGCCAGCCTGAGTCAATGACATCTTTGAGGAAGGGTAGTCAACACCATTAAAATCACACAGATTGAAAAGGGGAAGCAGTGGTTTCCACAAGCACAATCGAGGTTCTACAACAATATCAGAGTAAATGGATACTGGCTGAAGAGGCAGAGGAGCCAACTAAGCCATGCCAGGAGTCCCTGCCCACAGAAACTGTGAAATAATAAATGCATGTTGTTTTCAACTACTAAGTCCGTGGTCATAGGTTATATACATTAGCCAGGAGCTTAATATCATGCACCTTGGTAAGGGCAGACTTAATAATCCTTTCCACCCAGTGTCTAATTTTTTTTATTTTTATTTTTCTGAGATAGGGTCTCATTCTGTCACCCAGGCTGGATTCAAAATTTTGGCTCACGGCAACCTCCACCTCCCGAGCTCCAGAGGTCCTCCCACCTCAGCCTCCCAAGGAGCTGAACTACAGGTGTACACCACCAGGCCCAGCTCATTTTTGAATGTTTTTGTGGAGACAAGGTCTTACCACATTGTCCAGGCTGGTCACAAACTCCTGAGCTCAAGGGACCCCAAGGTGCTGGGATTATAGGCATGAACCACTGCGCCTGGTCCTCTGCCTCTCTTTATGGCAAAACTCCTTGAGAGAGTTTTCCACGTCAGCTATCTACACTTGCTCCTCTGGCACTTTGCTTTGAACTTGCTCTAGACAGGCTTTCCTCCCTACCACGCATCACAGGGTTATTAAGATCTCCAAATTGCCAAGTCAGAGTCCTCATCTCTCATAGTTAGCAACTATATTTGAGAACTAATGATTTCCTATTCCTCCAAACCCTTTATTCACCTGGCATCTGAGTAATCACATCCTCTCGATTTTCCCTCTACTTCTCCACCTGTTTTGGTCCCCACATCTAGATTCTCATCTTCCTGGCCTCTTAACTTCAGCGGGCACTGGATTCAGTCCTTGGAGCCTCCCTCTTCTTGTATACTCTCAATCTTATGTAACTTCATCCAGTCATGTGGGTTTAAATAGCACCTGTATAATGACAACTCTCAAACTAGAACAAGCTCAGGTTCTCCCCCAAGTCTCAATTTATACATCCAACAGCCTATTCAAACTCTCCATCTTAATATTCAATAAGCATTTCAAACCTAAAATCTCCATGCTAGAACTCATTTCTCCCCCATAAACCTTGCTCCGGCTGCAATTTTCCATATCTTAGTAAAAGGCACCTCCATTCTTCCAAGCACTCAGGCTGAAACCTTGGAGTCATCCTGAGTATCTTTTTTCTTATCCCCCACATCCAAACAACTGATACATCCTTCAACATCTTCAGATTCTATCCAGACTCCAGCCTTGGCTCCCCAACTCAAGTTACCCTAGCCCAAGCCACTACCATCTGTACCATTACTGTTAACAGCCTCCTAACTGATGTCCTTCTTCCACTTTTGCCCATGTAGTTTATTCTCAACAAAGCAGCCCGAACAGTCGTCTTACAACCTAGGTCAATGATACAGTTCTGCTCAAAACCTTTCCATTTAACAGACATCTACACAGTGCTTATTATGTGTTTATTACTTCATTTAATCCTATAACAGCATTATCATCATTCTATTTTGCAGCTGAAGAAACTGAAGCACCAAAAAGCTGATTTGCCCAAGGTCTCACAATCACTAGTGGTGATGCTAGGATTCTAACCTAAGCAGTTGACTCCATAGTCCACAATTTTAGTCACCATGCCATGCTGCCTCTCCATGGCTACTCCATGGCTTCCCATCTCACTCAGAATAAAAGTTCTAATAAGGTCTTAGATAGTCCAGTCCTCTAGATGATCCTATCCCATATCTTCAACTCCTACTCTCCCTCATCTTACTCAAACCACACAGACCTGTGAACATTTGCAGTGCTGTCCCATCTAAAGGCCCATTTGCTGTTATTTCTGTCCAGAACACTCTTCCCAGGGGTATCTGCAAGGGCAAGCCCATAAATTCCTTTATGTCTCTCCTTAAAGACCATCCTATCAGCCTGGGTGACAGAGTAAGACCCTGTCTCAAAAAAAAAAAAAGCAGATTGTGTTGCAGAAGTCAATGAACAAGACCAAGTTTGCAGCTCATATTGCACTGTCTTCATTATTACAATAAAACCGTAGGTTCCCAGGTAAGCCCGCCAGCTTACTTAATTCAGAGGTTCCTAAAATACTATACCCTTGAAGTAAAAAAAAAAACAAAATAAAGATAGCATTTTAATTATCTCTACACCAAGAACTTACAGAAATTGGCTTCCCAGAAGTCCCAGCCTATTAAGTCTGAAAAGAGGGAGGGAGAGGAAGAAAAAATGACAGTATATATGGTTTCAAGACTCTAAAACACCATTGTCAACATATCACTTATGAAGTATCCATGTTATTTCCACTCTCTCACTCATTACTGAAGATGTGATGTAGACAAGGTAATAAGAACAGGGTATTGTTGCTTAGATTTCCCAATACCAGAAAAAGGGACAGAAAGTAACTCACTAAAGCATTATTTCCTCAGGGAAACCTGCCTTGACTTCCTAGACCAGGTCAAGTCCCCTTGTTATTCACATGCACAGAACAGTATTTCTTGTTTCAGACTGAGGTCTGTCTCCTACACTGGGCTGTAAGTCCTAGTTCACAGAGCATATGCCACGTCCATTTTGTTCACTGTGACATACTCAGAGCCTCGCAGTGACTAGCAATCACTGAAAGCTTGTGGGATGAATCAATCTGGGCAGAGTAAGAAAGTCGTTCTTGCCTTTGAAGCCAAGGTGCTTCTTTGCCAACTTTTCTTCATCAAATACCTAGTTCCCCAACTGCTAGCCTCTAAAGCCCTGTTTCTCCCAGAAAATTAAAAGCACTGAAGTGGACACCATAATATAACACCCAGATTCCCCTTTTAGCACTGAGGGCATTATTCCCACAGCTGCCGAGTGTGGCCAGCAGACAGCTCTCAGCGGTTAGGCCTCTTGGAAACT